GGAGAAGGCCTTGTGCTGAATTGNCAAAATACTCGCGTCTCCTAATTATTTCTATCGTATTTCCCGTTCACCATTCGACAAACTAAAAATTATCTTCAATCAATTTTAGGAATAGAATTACTTCCCTAGAATTCCCTACAATTTTTAACGTTCCCTGTTCATTTCCATCACAATGCCCAAAATCCGTTATCCAATTATTACAGCATTAACTCTGTAACGTTATTCGCGGAAACGCGCCAGTGTACAGATTACAAGGGGTTAATCTGAATCCGATTGATCAGGGCGTATCCGTTACAGATTCCTCTTGGTTCCCAACCGAAGGAGAGAGCCCTGGGAAGCTCACCACAGGCTCGACTCCAGAATTCCGTGTAAAACGGCCGGTTTCGCTGGTTTCAAGTATCCAGCGACCGCGAGGACTTAAAAACCAGCATCCCAGAAGACTCGCGGGGCAGTCGTGCGCGAGATCGATTCGGGAATCGATCTCCAGGTGCGGGCCGACACGGTGCGGCTCGGCTCGGCGCACGGTCTAATTACTCGGCAAAGCAGATTCGCGTTCCCCTGGGGCATAAAGGCCGGACGAAACGATAATACAAATCGGCCGTGCAAAAACGGCCGCGATCATTGTTGCGGCACACGGTAAGAGTATAAATTTCACAGCAGGTCGGCGGCAACCGATTCGCCGGCAGCCGCCGCCGCCGCCGCACCGGTCCGCGTTGCGTTCGACGAGGAAGAAAAGCGAGAGCCGAGTTCGAGGGAGACGGAATCGCGAGGATACCGATCTGCCGCGCGTTCGACGAAGACGGAGAGCCGACAGCCGAGGGTGACGGAGAGAGAGGAAGCACAAGCTGCAAGAGGATGGTCGCAATATTCCGGCGAAACTCACGCAGTTCGCGGATGAGTGAGTAGTTCTCTCAGCAGTATAATGGGACCCCCTGCGGTAGCTTACCTGCATCATCGACTAATCACGCCGGATAATAGGGAACAATGGCGCCCCGTGAAAAGTGAAGCATACCCACCACTTACCTCCCTTTTCACTCGTCTCTGTCTTCCTCCGGTATCTTCTTACCCCTCCCCGCTGGCCAGATGCTTCTCTCTCTCAATCTCGAAAAGATCGTTCCCGCGAGCCAGACCATCCCCCTCTCTCTCTCTCTCACTCTCTCTCTCTCTCTCTCTCTCTCTCTCTCTCTCTCTCGTTCTTTCTCTCTACGTATCTCTCACCCCCGACACCCTTCACCGCCCATCCCCTACCACGCGAAGGATATAATCCTCTTACGCACCGGGCACAAAGTAAAATACGGACAACACAAGGCGGCCCGGCCGGTTCGGTACCCAGTATTACGCGTAGCCACCACGAAAAAGTGTTCCGGGGCCCATGGACCGGTGAAATTCCGGGCGACTTGCACCCTCCCGCGAAATCTCTTAAGCGGCTGCCGATTTCGGGACACTTAGGAAACGCTGTTCACGCAACTGCACAAGGCTGACCGAAATGTATCGATTTGAGCCGACGATCTGCGAAAATGCAGCCCTTTGTCGAAATTCGAAGCCTGTGCGGGATTCGCTTCAATGGAGAAGGCCTTGTGCTGAATTGCAATTATTTATCGATCTCTGGTAGCCTTTGTTAATCTAAAGACGTTTCATTTCATACTTACGATGTACGAAAAATCTTCTGTCCAGCTTAAAATTTAGACTTTCCTTCGAATGTAACATGCCGAAATGTTAAAAAGACGAGGGGAATGAATGATGAAGTTACTAAAAATTATGTTAAAAATAAATTTGGTCAGTAAACAATAACACCTCTTGTGAAAAATGTCACTAACGCCACCAATCATGGTCATAGAATCATCTAACTTAGTCATATATGGATGAGATTATTCTTTTATCAGATTTGGAAATAGATTGTAGCGTGACTAAATTTGATTACTGCGCTGAAATTGTTTGATTATTTATAGTTACGGTGTGTCAGTCGGCGTATTCGTGTATCAGCTTCTTCACTGTTCACCCAAACCAGCCAATTAATTTGATGCCACAGCTATACAATCAAAGAACCCATTCTCACAATTTACTTCACCACCCCGGGTAGCTACGTAACCCAAAGAATGTACGAACTGCGAGCTCTTTGCACTCGAATAAGCAGTCTTTGATAGCCGAAAAAAATGGCCAATAGTCCCCTCGGATCGCTGAAGCAACCCCAAACAAGCTGACACCCCGCGGTCCAACAAACAATCCGGCAATAGGCTCATTAGAATTAGCTGGAACTAGTTCGGTATCTTCTGCCGGCTTCGCATTCTTGTTCCTACCCTCTCTTCGGAGCGTTCCTCGAGGGGTTGGCCAACGGTTTCTCGTTACCTCGGCAAGGGCTGGCAGAGGGAGACACGTAAATACCGGCGCATGTAGGACCGACTGCTTTGTAGAATTTTTCTACCGTTCTTCAGCTGCGACCTCGCGAGAGGAACCGACGCGTTTGACCCTTCTGCCGGTTGTCCGTGTAATCATTTTCCTACTTTCGCGTCACTTCTTCCCCTCCCAGCCCCGCGTTTCCCTCCACCGAAATCCAGCCAGCTTTTCTGAGAGCTTTTGTGGCCTTCCGGCTGGCTCCGCGAGCGGACCGGCCCATTATGCTACGCACCTCCCGCGTTTTGTCAACTTGACTCTGAAAAGAACGCTGGAACGGCCCCTTCGGACTCGTTAGCCCTGCCAGAGGAACCTGGTCCTCTGTTCGGGGGCGACTCGGAGAACACCGTTCACTATGGCGCCTTTTGCCCGGCACCGAGATCAAACCTACCCTGAATTCCAATCAAAGATCCATCGAGATGGGCTGTAGGGACTGGATAAAATAATTCAAGGGAGTTCTTTCTCAAAGCATAATGCATCTCTTCTTGGAACCCGCACTATTATTGCAATGGTCTTCGTAAAATTCTAGTTCCAAAAGTGGTTGAAACGGCACCTTAACTAACAATTCATACCATGTCCATATATAGTTAATGCATAATTTCACGACTACTAGTCTTGCAGGATCAACAGAAGGCTCAAAGGTTATCCATCTCTTATACGTTCCAATAAATTCTATAAAATCCGTTTTCGTAAACTTAATCCAAAGGATTGTGCATCGCTAGAAACAATATCTTCTCCATCGAATAAAATCTTGAAGAGCGTTCAAGAAGAAATCACTTCAATTTCTAAAATTGAAGCACTAAACGAAAAGTCCATGTTTCATCAACTTTTATCAACTTCTCGAAGAATCGCCATCGAACAGCAAACAATTGCTTATTCGTTCATTTTTGTTACTTTATTGTTACAAAGTAACAGTGTTTCCGCTATCCTATCCTCGAGTCAAATACTGCCAAATTTTCGAACAACGTTCAAGCAAATATTTGCCCCGTATTCCTTGCATTCAGCATCGGATGGTAAAACCGGGGTGTCATTAAATAATTTCCGCGGCGCATCATTGTCCCAGCGCAGTGAGCTGAGGAGAAGAGCGCGGGCCCGCGTACGACAATGCTCGTCGCCGTCAAACAGAGGCCTATGAATAAGATCGTTCAAAGATCCGTGGCCAGAAGACGAGCGGCGAGGCACCCTTCGCGATGGCACGAATCGCCGGATCCCCGCCGGGAGAACAAAGAGAAAAGGGAAACCAGACCGGGCGGGGTATCACGATGGAATCGCACGGTCCACTCTTAATTTCCGTCACCGGTCGCGTATTTAAGCTGGCGCGGGGGTTGTTCGGTGCCGGGACACGGTGGGTTGCAGCGGAGCCGGGCGGGAGTGGTCGGGGTTCCTGGCTCGGAACGAGAAGCTCACCCCCGCGGCCGGCTACGTGCTCGGGGTATTTGCACGCGCGAATACGCGGCTCTGATACACCGACGCGCATAATGCATGTGGTTATAGAGAGCGAGAAAGGAGGGCCGGATGGGAAGAAAAAGAGGGAGTTGCTCGAGGTGGGCAAAGCGAGAGAGCTGGAGAGAGACAGAGAGAGAGAGGAGAGAGGGAGACAGAGAGCAAGAGGTGGAGAAGAAGGGAGAGAAGCAGTAGATTAGGTGGGTACATCGCGCGACTGCGGCGAGGACGTTGGTATAGAATACGGATATAGGTGGTAGCAACTGCCATCGTATCACGGTGGTGGGTAGACAGAGAGGAATCGAGAGGGAGAGAGAGGGGGGGTGAGAGAGAAAGATAGCTAGGCGAGAGGGAGCGAGCGAGAGGCAAGACCGGCGAGGCAAGCTGAAATGGAAGGACGGAGCGAGGAAGGGGTGCGAGGGGCTGCGGAGGGCATCGAGGGGGGTAGGCTATAAAGGCTAATTGGTTAAAAGCTCACCGCTGGCTGCAGGCTTAAATCAAGATCTTGGAGTGTTATAATGGATAAGTAACACGGCCAGGCACTGCCACCAGCAGCGGAGTTGTGTGTTATCCCCTCCCTGGCGTAGGTAGCCTCGGTAAAGCACCGCAGCCACCCCCATTCGCGCGATCCGCAGGATCGTCGAGGGCGAGTATCTTCCGAGTTAAGGACGACGCGGCTCACCCGATTGGCCCGCGCCTACGGCTACCCCCGTGCAGCCCCCGAGCCGGCCGCACTCCGCCACGAGTCATCGATCGCGCCACCACCCTATGAGGAGTCGCGAGAACCATCCCCCACGGAAACCCATTTGCTCCGCCCCGCCCCCTGCCCCTCCAACAACGACACCCCTTCCGGCAACTTGCGGCTTAGCCGTCCTACGTTACCCCTCCACCAGCGAGCAACCACCGACACCCTTCTCTCTGTCCGCCGTTGGCGTTCATCCCTCTCGCGCCCACCAACTCCCGGTTCGTCTGTCTCCTTCGGCAGTCTATAGCCCGACTACCACCCCGCGACTCTCGAAGCGTGACGCCACGCTCTTTCCTGCTTCCGTCGACTCTGTCTCGGTCTCCTCTTTCTCGCTCCACCCCGCTACCCTCTGCCTATCGGCTCTCTCTCCCTCCCTCTCGCCTTCTCTCTCTCTCTCTCTCTCTCTCTCTTCCACTCTCCGTTCGTCGTTCGCCGGCTGTCTTCGTCCGATCGCGGCGCGCGTTCCGGCTGCGTACGCGAATGTCGAGTAAGGCCCTCGTTCGTGTGACCTGTGGTTTCTCCGGCGTTTTCCTACCCTTAGTGCGAGCACAGTGCCCATCCGCAGTCCATCACTCGCCACGACACGCAAACACCGCGCGAGCAGAGCACCGCGCTTCGAAACGCATTTGCGCATTTGCCGGCGATTTACGCGCAGTCATCGCCGCCGACCGTCGGTGTCCACCCCCGGGTCCACTCGCCGCGTATGTTTGTTTCACCCCCGTACCGACGCCGAGGAGACGAGTGACACTGAACCCCGATTCGAACCACGATTCGAATCTCGTTTCGAAATTCGCGATTCGAGCACCGGGGCTGACCACCAGGCTCGAGATCATATTTGGTATTCGCGGTGAACGAGGACCAGATCGCCGGCCGAGTGATTAACGATCGAGTGGAAGGGAAAGTGACTCGAGGAAGTGACTACCTGCCGGTGTTGCTCTTCGCGGTTTTACACGCACGACAGGCAACGTTTCCGCGGACAGTCGAGCCCGAGGAAGAGAGACGGACAGAGAGGGGCGAAGGAGGAAATCGTAGAAGGAGAAGCTAGAGAGGAGAAGAGGAGAAGCGACGGCGGCAACGGCGACTACGTGTCGGATCGGTAAGCGGTGGTAGGAGGTGCTGGCACACGGAGAAAGAAGAAGGGGAGGCCGGTTGAAGGACGAAAGAGAGAGAGAGGGGTGTCGCGCGAGAGGGTGGCTCTCTGGGAAGGGTGGGCCCTCCAAGTGTCTTGTCTCCTATCATCCTGTCGTCCAGGGTATCGCTTACGAATGTCGCGCGATCGAGCGATCCGTCTCCGATCCACGACGACGAGGGACCTCCGGCCGACGGAGGCGTCGCGAGCTGCCCGCTAGCCAGCCGACGCGCGACGTTCGAGTGTCGTTAACCGAGAGTAGACATCGGCATGCGACGGGAAGGACTGGGATCGTCGTCGTCGTCGTTCCGCGTGTCGGATAGACCTTGGGCCGTCGGGTCGTCGACGGAGCAACGATTCTGACCAGCCGGCGGCTCCAGGGAGCAGATCGTGTTCAGTGACGAGTGTGTTGCTACCGGTGAGCGAACAGTCGAGGGAGCCATCGTGCCGTGCTCGAGGATCCCGGACCGTTGGACGGAACGCGTGACGGGACGCGCGACCGCGTCAACCATGTCGGGCGAGACCGAGATCGAGGTGTCCGTGGTGTCCGAGGAGGACCTGGAGCTCGAGGGCTCCAGGAGCAGCTCGACGCCCGCCGAGCTGCTGCTCCAGGAGAAGAACGGCAAGACCGGCTGCGGGCTCAACAACCATCACTCGTTCGGCTTCGACATGGGCAAGCCGCCGCTCAGGCCCGCCTGCAATCCCCAGTACACGTCCTTCAGCATCTCCAGCATCCTCGGCAGGCCGGAGTCGCCGCCGGTCGACTCCACGTCCACCGTCTCCGGCGAGAGACAATCCTCCGACGTCGACAGGGCCTCGCCGCCAACGCAGAACTCCCAGAGGATCGGATCCGCCTGCGACAGCCCCAACAGAGGCCTGTCCTCGCCCACGCCGTTGAGATACGCCGCCAATCAACGGAGTACCGCCGTCGGACACGCCATCGAGACCAGGAACAATTCGACCAGTATCGGTATCGGGTGTGCTACCAGTGCTACCAGCCCGGCGTCCACGTTCTCGCCGCCCAGCGACTCCGCCGCCAATCCGCTCCTGGGACATCAAGCTTCCGCCGATCTGGCCATGCTCTCGAGGTACCCTTTCATTTTATATCGATCCGATTCTGACAGCTGCGACGGGAGCTTCGGGGTTGCCACTGTCGCACGCGTTCGCCAACGAGTGACAATAACAACGAGTTCATCGGGATTGATTCCGATTATTGGAGACAGAGGACCGTCTTCCATATTTTCGGATTCGTTTCTGTGCCAACCCCGGAGCTCTCGATGATTTAGATAGCTCTCGGATATCTGGAACGGTTGATTCGTTTAGTTTTATTGTTCCGGAGATGTTTGTTTATGGGTCCTAGTGTTTGGTTGCTTCGGAGACTCTTGCCTGCATGATCATAGGATAAAATGGCACTCGAAACGATGAAATTCGCCAAAGCTTTTAGTACGATTTTTTAACAGGATTGGTTGGGAACTTATTCTTTCGAGTACAAAAAACTATCTATCTTCTATTTTGTAAATATGACGTCGCGCCTTTAGGATGGGGGTCCAAGTGAATGTTGAAGTGTCATGTTAAGTACTAATTGAATGTCGCACACAAGCATCGCGATAACAATGTCATTTTTCAATCAACGAGATAAGTAACAAGCAATCTAAATTCGATAGTCCGTTCGAATTGACAAATGCATGAAAATCTCCAACTTTGTATCGACTGCAATGATTTTCTTTCTGTGAGTTCAGTTAAGACACAGCTGATACTGATTGTCGACGCTGAAACAATTACCAGAAGAATACCTTTGAGAATCTATGTCCGTACGATTATGATTATTCTTTGAGAAAAAGTGTATCGCGTTATCAACTTTGATGAAATGCTTCATTATCAAACAGTCGTTACGTATTGTTAGAACGAAGCGAAAGGTCGTGCAACTTCGTTGAAAGCAGTAAGATCGAAGTCGGATAAAGGGCAGTTGTTACAATTACGCTCCACGCCACGCGGATTTTCGCGTGATTGCTCGCGTGAAAACCAGGAATCGTTTTGAGATTCTGATGAATCATTCAATAGCGTATCGCCATTGTTCCTCGGTGTGTATTATTAGCGGCTCGTCGTGACGCTGCGCGAAAGCAACAATGAACTATGGATGTTCTACTGGCGTCGCTTGTGAAATGATTACCTCGAGTGTTACAAAATTTGCAATAACTTTTTAGATCGTTCGCGAGTTGTTAAACTGTACTACTAACGGGTTAACACGCGCGCAGAGGTCGAGGGCAGTAGGTTCGATAGCTCGCGCGAGAATCTGGTGAATTGTTATCGCAGCAGCGCTATTTACCATGGCCTCTATATAGATAGCATAATTTATCTGATAGAACTAGAATTTCACGTTAACCCATCGCCGCTGGTTCGATCGAGGTATCAATGTTTACTAATAAGGAATTAACGCGTACCATCAGTTTTATATCTCCGCTGCTATTTGCGTTCGGCCAATTCGCAATAACTATTTCATCGACAATGACGTGTTGCCGAGCTTAATCAACTAACATCGCAGTTTAGAATAACGCGGGCAATACTAACGTTTGAACCTTTGAATATTTCGAACTCCATTCGATGACTATCGATATTTCGAACATTTTTGTCGACGATGCGAAACGATTCTGCGTGATTAAGGCTTTTGTTGGCGATGTGCGGGAATCAAATGAGGGACGTTTTTCAAAACCGTCGACTTTAGAATACCAATTTTGTATGTATATAAAAGTCGATTTGAAAATTGATTTTTCAATTCCACCAATAGCTACCGATCTTTCTGGTCTACATCGAACCATTTTAAACCATTCTACACCATCAAACAAAAATGAATTTTTAATGTTTCTATGCTGCGAGCGGAACATTTGCAGAACAAACTCAGCCAAACCGTCAGAAATTCATCGGAAACAGACTGGAACTCTTCTAAACTTCGTATAGAAACGAATCCCTGCAGGATAACACTGTCAAAGCTCGCGGCCAGCTTCGAAAGGAGTCAGTTTTCCGTCGGACAACGGCCGATCCGAAATTAGAAGGGCGAGAGACACGCGCGACAAAGCGAAAGACGCCGGTGCTCGGACCGCAGATGAAATTTTCGTGGGCGTGAGTGCTCTCGGATCAAGATACACGAGGGTGCACGCGGGGGCGCGTGGGGGGTTGATAAAGTAGCAGGGAACCGGGCAGAGCTCGTGCGGTGAGGATTATATTATGTGGGAATGGACCGAGGGGTCCGTAATGGGCCTATTAGGCTGTCTCATTTAATAACAACCGTAGCAACAACCACCCTCTCTTGCGTTACTTACGTTGCTCGGGGCCGGGTCGGCCGGCTCTTCGTATCGGGCGTGTATCTGCGAGGAACCCGAGCACGCTTTGCGCCACAAGGGGCTGCGACGGGAGGGTTCGAGATGATTTTATCAGATTTACACCCCCTTCCGATTGACGGCACCCGCTCGCAACCGGCTGCTCGATGCTACCCGGCTCGATGCCTCCAATTGCTTGTTTTCCACCCGTTTACCATTTGATTAAGTTCCACTCGTATGCACCATTACTCGACGCGGGGAAACGATTTTCGTGGGGCACCGACGAGGGGGGCTGCGGGGGCGGCTCATCATTCTGTCGCGAGGCATCAAAACACCATCGGGGAGTTCGGATTTTTGTTGCTGATCGGATTAGGGGATGACGAGCACTGAGCTGCCATGATTTACAGAATGTAAGAGAGTGTCATTTCGCGTCGTTCATTCGCTGCGAAAGTGGCTTCACGTCCAGCAGAATGCAAATTGATAGCGTAGAATATCTAATCCTCAATTTATAGAATTTGTTTCACGGACTTCCATAATTTGATTTGACAATGCATAGTTGCGTTTAGAACTTCATGAAGTTTTCGATACCTACGTATCTAGGCTGCTGCTAACAGCATCCGATAAAATAACGTCCAATTTAAATTGATCATCTTTTAAACGCAAATAATGCTGCATAAATTATTGCACCTTAAAATGGACCTGTAAGTCGCTAATCCAATATCACATCAGGTACCAAAAAATGTCCCCATAAACAGAGACCGAAAATATTTTTGTATCACTGGCAAATCTCGGAAACTAAACGGATTCGCTAGTACAAGTTCAAGCTGATAAAGCAGAGTCTAAAAGTAGCAGACTCGAGACCTGCCGGAAGTAAAAAAATTCCGAGACGATCGGGCCAGCTCCCGACGTTCGCCGAAACAAGCCCCAAAAGTTTGAAGGCAGAGGATCGGATATCAGGGCCGACGCGCGCGGAAAGTAGGAAAGAATCAATTAGGCGGCGGGGTGCATAATACATCAGCGGATGGAAACACCAGCGTAGTCGAAGTTAAGGAGCCTAAGACTCCCGAGAGAAATGGGCACCTGTCCCGCCCATTTCGCATCGGCGGGGACGGGGGCGGGAGCTTCTTGGCCCCCTTGCGTCTTCCGCGTGGAGGAAGCGAGCAACTTCTAGGTTTGATTTATTATTAAATTGGTGCCTACGGTATCCAGGAACGGAGTCTTGGTTTTGCCAAGGTCGGCTAAGTACACGAAAAGCTTGCACCGCGGAAATCTCCTCCAGCGTCTCGGCGCTTAACGCCCCAACCCACCCCCGCTCTCGACAACACGGGCTCCTCTTAAACTGATACGGTAATAGCATTTCCTGGGAGAAGAGATTTCAGCAGAAAGGATTCCCGTGTAGAATATTATCCGAATTAGGCGCTCCACGAATTTACCTCGGCGCACAGCTACGCTCTGCGCGGGACCACCAACCCCCTGCATGGGCGCGGAAGTGTCTTAAGCAGGAAAGTCCGCGATACCGTCGCCCTAAAATGGTTTCGCGGATGGGGACCAGGCGAAACGCCTCTTCGCACGTCCCTATATATTTACTATCATATTCTGTCGCTGCCGGTGCTCATTGTCCTTCGAGCATCGATGCTTTGTTAATTGCATGTAGTTAAATCAAAAATATCCCGATCAGAAAGGAAAAATTTAATTAACCCTGCACTGTCACACTTCCTATGCGAAACACGTATGTCATTTTGGGTCACTCAGATCCAGCTGCGTTTTCAAACAACTGTCACTCAAAAACTAGCAACACTACCGAGACCAATGTAAGAATATTATTTGAACATTTTAGAAGATCGTTTCTTTTGTTAGAACTTGATCTCCCACTTTCAAGTATATTGAACTAACTGTTAATTTCATTCTTCTCGTGACAATATTACTTTTACGGAAAATAAAATGTGAGACATTTTGATCCAGTGTAACAGCGGAGGGTTAAAGACGACGATTTTTTACTCTGACGTCTACATTTTTCTCACCAGAAAATATGCCAGAAAAATTACTTGTCGCGGGTACAATTATTTTTCTCGTGTTATTTAAACAATTTTATGTTTCACCATTTATTTGATGAATCATAAAAACAGGGTGTAAAACTCTGAAGCATATTTATAACGGAATATTTATATGACTGACTGTTGCAAGCTCACTACCCTTGCAAGTTGAACTCGCGTAAATCGAAGACCGTCAGAAAATAGAATGTCCAAGCGGATAGGATAATAATCCAACAGGATAGGACTGAATGTTTGTGCTTATTCAGATCTCCATCGTCCGACGATTGATGTGACGATTTTCCCTTCAACTAGCTGTGTTTGTACGTTCGGTGTGAAAATTTGTCACGCAGTGTACAGGACGGCCCAAAAGCCGCGACAGATGATAATTCATCGGACAATCGAAGGTATCGGTGTCGGAGGAAGGGAATTACAGCGGCCGCAATTCCGCGAACCAATAAATTCCGATCTTCGATAAACTTCGCGAGTGCGGCAGCGTCGGTTCGGAATAATTCAACGATCCAGTGTTGAATTATCGTCTGACGCCTCGGAAGTCGGTGGCGGAGCAGGACAAAGCCGTATTAAAATTGATAATATTCCGCGGATGACGGAACCGGTCGGACCGTTGACGCGACTCCGTAAATTAATCAGCACGGGCGCGCGACGCGAGCAGAAACCACCTCGCCGCCTCTCCTCGCCGTTTATTCGCGACATTTTCTCGAGCCGGTCCAATCTAATTACTGC